GGCAAGGGCACAGACGCAAGAGAGTAAAGCGAAGGTGGGAGCTTATGGTAGTTCTTATCCGACTGCCTTTATTTTCCTAAGGATTTGGAGAAGCCACGTTGAGGGCTGAAAACGGGGATGGAGATTTGAGGTTTGCCGTGATAAGAAAAGGCACGAAAGAATCATCCAGGAGGGTGAAACAGTGCATGGACTCAGGACCAGAGGGGCTCGAGGGTCATGGTCATGACTTTCCAGTGCCCAGGCTGGCGTGGCTACATTTTTCTTCAGTGCCTTTAAGCTCTCAGGGTGCAGGTGCAGAGCAGGCAGAGGCTTGGTTTTATCTGAGACACGCATGGTTTAGCCAAGTGAGTATGACAGGTGAGAAGAGGCCACAGGGTTGGGCCAGAGGGGGCGATGATAAAATGAACCAAGATCTGAGCCTCTGGTCCCTGTCTCTCTCCCTCTCTTCCGTGCCACGGGCTCGCCTGGGGAGAGGGATGCCTCTGAGTGCAATTGCAGAGAGAAACCCGGCCGCTCCCTTTCTTGGGTTTTTATGGCTGGACCGATAATAATGTGGACACAAGACCCAAGGAATAGCTACGTGCAGACGGGAGGTCATAGCTGGCGCTCCCTGAACCAGCCAACTTTTTATACTTATTAGACAAAGACACAATACATTTCTGAAGAATTGAGAGGGCACTTAGGGTGCTCATTAGTGAGGAATCTAATGAAGTTTGGGCTTAGGTAGAAATTAGTAACAAGGTTTTTTATGTCAACTTTTTGAGCCTGGATTCCTTAACTCTAGTGACAAGGGCATCTCCCTCAGCCTCCAGGTGCAGGCAGGGCAGGTTTCACGTGACACATTTACTTTCCGCTTTCTGGGGGACAGACAGAGAGGTCAGAGTGTTCTCATATGGCCAGTTTTCTTAAAAAAAGATTTTATTTATTTTTAGAAAGAGGGGAAGGGAGAGAGAAAGAGAGGGAGAGAAACATCAATGTGTGGTTGCCTCTCGTATGCCCCCTACTGGGGACCTGGCCTGCAACGCAGGCAAGTGCCCCGACTAGGAATCGAACTGGTGACTTTTCGGTTTGCAGGCCAGCACTCAGCCCACTGAGCCTTACCAGTTAAAGTGCATTGCCTATTTTTTAAAGTATCTTTACTTGTAAATGATGTCATGGTGGGCTATCTTGGGGCAGCCTGGGCCGCGATGGTAATGACAAGGTCTAGGGTCTGGAGTGAGGCCATGGGAGTGACTGGTAAAATGGGATGGAGAAGAAACTCATCGGAGGCATGAAAGTCAAGGAACTGAGGGAACAGGATATGCGAAGGGCCAGAAATGTAGATGCTCTGGATGTTGCTGACTGCATTGACACGGTGTCACCTAACATGCTCGTCTTCTGGTTTTTGTATTTTCTGTAAATTGGTAGTGATAGAGACTTGTTCAGATTAAGGTTTGATTTTTTTTTTTGGAGGGGGGGAGATAACGCCATCGATGTTGCTTTTAAATTTTGAATCATGTGACTGTATTGACTATTGAAAAAAATAAACAAAATTTTAAAACAAAAAAGTAGATACTAAAATCACCAATAATGAAGACAGAACTGCCATTGGAGAGAAGGAGAGGCAGGAGCTAAATGTTTCAGAAATGAAGCATGTGAGGTGGGGAGTACGGCTGAAAGAGGAGGGGTGGTGGACAGTGTAATCTGATAACACGAGGTTAACAGGGGCAAGCGTTTTACAGTGGAAGGAAGGAGAATATTCTGGAAGAGAGGAAGGATACTACCCTATGTCCAGGTATGGTGGTTGGGAGACTGCACAGCCTTGACCCGAAGCATCTTCAGGGAAAATCTCATTCTCAGGGCAGAGCTAGGATTCTGGTAGAGATTGGGCGAGAGGCTACAGAGACAACAGCAGACGGGGGAGGGTCGGAGCTGCAGGTGGCGGGTGCAGGGAGTGACCCATAGTAACAATAAAATGGGATGTGATGCGCGCTGCTGTGATCGCTCAGAGGAAGGGTATGGGGAGGATTATGGACAGCAGGTGGTAGTCAATTTGAGTTTAAAGGATGGTGGAAAGAACTTCTCCAGGCAGACAAACGAGGGAGAAGGAGAAAAGAGAACATGGACAAAGGCATGTGACCTAGTGGTACGGCTGGATCTGGGGAACCGAAAAGAGAAGCGTGAGAACGGAGGAGGAGAGGGGAGGGGCTGGAGAGGCAAGGCAAGGGCCTCATCCTCCAGGACCTGGAATGCCATGTTTGCAGTTGGAACTTCTCTTGGAAGTGATTATGAACCATGAAAGGAGTATAGGCAGGACATAGGCTGGGTTTTAAGAAAAGTATTGAATTCGCTAAAACAACCATTCTGTGATTTTCATGTATGTGTCTATGGATGCGGATTATCTATCTCTTAATCTATACCTGTCATGCAAACTATGAAGCCGATTCCAGTTGTTCCTACTCAGATTTTTGGCATCTCAACTCAACGAAATAAGGTTTAAGGCAGAGACAGAGCACTAAGGGGCTGCAGAGCCCCTAGTGGGTAGGAGTCTTCACACAGACAGAGACCTGAACTGGATTCCCAGGGTGTCGCTCACCAGTTTATGGACTAGGACTAATTTCTCTGGCTCTCCTTGTCAGGCAGACGGGGATAATAGTTCCAACCAGAAAGGTTCCTGCGTGAATGAGATGAGATCATGCCGTAATGTACCCAGCAGAATGATGGTTGCGTAGCATGTGTTCAATAAAATTAGCTGTTATTTTTATGCTGTATGAACCTCAAGCCCACATATGCTTTCCTCCTTAGTTCCTCTCTGCATTGGCTGCACATTGGAACCACCTGGTCCCAGTTTTTTAAAACACAAATACATTGGTCCCACCCCCAGGTATTCTGATGGATTTGGACAGGGGTACAGCCTGGGTGCTTTTATAACCCCCAAGGTGATTCTAATGTGCAGTGAAGGTTGAGTGTTATTGGTTCTCCAAGTGCTAGACCCTGAAACAGGAATGTTAGCATCACCCAGGGATTAGTTAAAAATGCCAAATTTCCCCAATCGACTGAATCAGAAACGCGGGCGAATCAGCTATCTGTGTTTTAACAAGCTCCCCTGGCGATTCTAACGAACACTCAGGTTTCATAAGTACTAATCTAGGAGCAGCAATCCCGGTGGTCATCTCAGCTGTCCGGGTCTACCGTCCGCACCGCGGTGCCCCTCCGACCCTCCCCCACCCCTGCTGCACGAGCTCCAGCCTGCTCGCGCGGGTGAGGGCGCGCGCGCTCTTTCTGTCTCTCCCCGCCCCACCCCCCGCCCACCTTTTTCCCTTCATGGGAGAATGGTGAGATTTAGCGTTATTTCTTGTTCTTTTGGATTGCTTAATTTTGTAGATGTTCTTTTTCTTTGTTTACGTGCTCTTCCATTCTCCCAACAAAACGTACGTGCCAGACACTGGTTATAGGGAACTGAATAGGGACAGCTCCTAACCCTACGGGAATGCCCAGTTGCGATGCTGTGATTAATAATAAATATATATTTGTTCTTCGTCCCCATTTCCGGCACAGAGCTCTAGAAACCCTTGAAATTCCTGAGATGAAAGCGATACAGGCGTCTTTTGTGATGTTAATGATGAATTTTGAAAAGCACCTGAGGGGGCTGATTGCCAGGAGATGCCACCTGGGTAAGAGACTGGACCTTTCAGTCCCACCCCCGGCCTCCGGGGAGGGGAGAGGGGCTGGAGATTGAGTTCAGCCACCAATGGCCAATGATTTAATCAATCATGCCTAGCGCGGCCTCCAGAAAACCCCGAAAGGACAGGTTTCAGAGGGGCTTCCGGGTCGGTGAGCACGGAGAGACTCAGGTGGAGTTTCGTGGCCAGAGCGCACCCCTTCCGCCTGGCTGTTCCTGAGTTATATCCTTTCAGAGTGAGCCTGTGAGCCAGTGAGTAAAATGTTTGAGTTTTTTGAGTCCCTCTAAGTAAATTAATTGAGCTTAAGGGGCAGGTTGTTGTTACCTCTAACCTACATAAGCTGGACAGTCAGGAAACCTGGGCCAGCGAGTGGCATCTGAAGTGGGGACACGGGGCGGGGGGCGGAGGGGGGGCGTCTCGTGGGCCTGAGCCCTCACCCTGTGGATCGGATGCTACCTGTGGGTAAATAGGGACAAAAAAAGTGAGTTGAATTGTCAAATGCCCAGCAGGTATGGGGAAATTACTTCGTGTAACTTGGGGTGGAAGGAACGCAACCCCCACCCCAACACTGGAATTTGAGTCAAGAATTTTATGAGCATTAAAAAAAAAAAAAGTGGCTAACTGGGCTAGTCTTGGGTGGCCCAAGTGAAGGGTAACTTTTTTGGCCCCCATTTTGCCTGTTTCACATCCTCCTCTTTCTGCAATCTTGTTTTCTGTGCTGTGCTCCCGTGAAAACCTGTTTTCAGGTTTGGATCCTAGCTCAATCATTTGTAATTTAGTCTAAGTCATGTTTGCTGACCAGACTGGATGTGCCTGGGGAAAGGGACTGTGTCTCTATTTCTTCGTAGCCCCACACTTCTCCAAGTTCCGGCTCTGCAGTAACATGCCACTTGCATTTCTAAGTGGCACAGAGCTGAGAAGCCCTGGCGTGGGCACCAAGTGTAACCTTGGGCAAAGTCACGGCACTTTCTGGCACCTCAGTTTTCTTATCTATAAAATGGGTTGATGATTTACTTAATTTTTAAATTTTTTACTGTAGTTAAGAAGTATTTTATTTTTTTAGAGAGAGGGGAAGGGAGGGAGAGAAACATGGACTGGTTGTTCCTCGCATGCCCCCAGCCTGGGATCTGGCCTGCAAACCAGGCATGTGCTCTGGTGGGGAATCAAACTGGTGACCCTTTTTGGTTCACAGGCCATTGCTCAATCCACTGAGCCACACCAGCCAGGGCCATATATATGTATACACACACACACACACACACACACACACGTTTTATATATATATAAATATATATATATATTTTTTTTACACAAAGAAAAAAGTACAAGTGATTACAGGAAAATATGGGACCCCATATGCATTTGCGTGTCATCCTTGCACAGGGCCCACGCTAACCTTTGTATCATCCCAATTTTAGTACATGTGCTGTCAAAATGAGCACTGGGCTTGGTGTCATTTAATCTCACGCCATTGCAAAGTCTACGTAAGATAATGCAGGTACAGGGCTTAGGTGCGCGCCCTACCGGGGATATAGGAGCGCTCGGTGAATGGTACCCGTGAATGACTGTTATTAAACTCCATTTCATGCCATGGAGAGGCAGGTTTCAACCCCTGGGCTGCCGGGAAGCTCTCGGGCTGAGTCGGGTTTCCCCAAGGTACGGCTCCCACTCTGAGAGGGGAACTCAACCTCCTCCAGAGACGCCCCACGCGAGCTCTTCCGGCTTCCCGTGGACTCACCCACACCGCCTTGAGGACTTGCTAAATCTTCTCTTCAGCAAGTTTAATACCTTGCAAAAGCCTCAACCTATTTTAATTGAATTATTTTCTTCAGTGTCAGGCTTAAGGAGCACCCGACAGGCCTTCAGCTCTGACTGAATGCATTAAAAAAAATCAAACACTATAGACCGCGGCCTAATCCTTGAGGGAGGCAGAAACAGAATCCCCTCTGCAGCCCTTTCATTTTCTTACGTTAGTTAACAAACACACTTATAACCTCTGCTTTTTCATTCCCTCCCTGAATGCTCTTTAGTTGCCTTAGTAAGAAAGAATAAAACGCAGACTGTAATGCGATGCTGGGGAAGAATTTACCATCTTAATTTTCATGGCTGGAAGGCATTTTCCACTTTGCCTGGCCTAACCTGCATAATTTACCTGGTGTGGGGCACGGGTGATGGCTTGGCCAAGGTTGCAGAACTTAACCTCCAAGGAATGCAGCTTCAAAAAGACATGTTCTTAGTCCTGGACAAGGTTTGGGAGCCACAGCAAAACATGGCATGGGGCGTTCAAGCGAGTGGGCCAGGGTGGTGGTAAAGGGGGGCTCTCTGGCCTCTTGCCTCCCAGGGATTGAACCTCGGTCCACCTCACGCCGTCTGCCCCTGGGCAAGTTGCTTAACATTGCTGGGGCTTCTGTTCCCTCACCCCCAAGTCAGTACCTACTTAGAGTGCTGTAGAGGTAGACTACAGTTTACTAAAAAGCTCAGCACTGCCCCAGCACACAGCAAGTGCTCACTACATTTTAGCTGTTCCTGTTACTGAAGAATCTTTTGAAAGGCTCTTGATAGGATGGTAACAGGAAAGCCCTGCATCTGAGCGCTTTGTGGCAGTGGTTGTGTGTTCCCCCAAAGGACTGAATTTCTGGCCCTGTCAAAAGAAAGTCCCAGAGCTCCTTTACTTAAGGGCAGACTTGTCTTCTCATGAGAGTAGAAGGTCAGTTCTATCAGAGAGTGCTGGACACAGTGCTGTCTGAGCCTCTGAGAGTATCAACTACAAAGTGACTTTAAGTGCTCCAAAAATGTGGGAGCTCAGTGAAAGGGCGGTGCTAGTAACAATAATAAAACTAGTATTACCAAGTATATTAACATCCATTATCTCATTTGATTCTCAAAATTACATGCGATTATATATTCTATGGATATTCTGTAGTGGGCCATCAATAGCTCTACTGGATGAACAAATGAATAGTTGGATGGGCATTGATTGTCATTCCACTTGAATGAGGAAATAGGGACTCAATTAGGCCTTGCTATGTAACTAACCACCCCAAAGCTGAAAGTAACGTGGCTCATTCTTCATGGTTTTCTAGGTTAGCCACGTGCCTCTGTTGATTTTGCCTGGACTCAAAATGCTGGATGTTGGCGAGTCCATTGGATTGGAAGGTAGGAGAAGGCCTCACTTGTCTATTTGGTAGTTGATGCTAAATGTGGGCTGTGCCTTGTTTTTCCCCACGTGGCTTCTCCAGTGGCTAGGTTAGCTTCCTTACATGGTGGTCTCAGGAAAGCATTTCAAGATGGTGGAGACAGAAGCCGTAAGGGCTTTGGGTCTTACCCAGTGTTGTGTCCACTACATTGTATTAGTCAAAGCAGGTCACAAGACCAGCTAAGATTCAAAGGTTGGAGACAGAAGTTGTAAAAAATTTGTAGCTACATTTGATTTATTAGGAGATCAACAAATATAATCCCTTTTATATATATACTAGCTAGTATATATATAAAATATATACTATTTATATATATATAGCTATATATATATATTTATATATATATAGCTAGTATATAGTATACTACATACTAGCACTTGGCCAAAGTCAAGTGTTGGCCAAGACTTGAACTTCGGTCCTGTGATTCCAGGGATTGTGACCTTTCTTCTGTAACAAGACCATTTTTACTGCAAGAGTAAACTTAGTTCAGGATGAGGCAAAGATTTTTCCGCCCTTTGACATCTTGGGACATTGGGCACCTGGTGTGTCTGTTAATAATGTCAAAATGCTGAGACACTGTGATTTGGATGTAGCATTGTTCTTTATTTATATATAAAAATATTCATTTTTGTTGTTGTTGTAACTCAGTGTACTCGCTTTAAAATGTGAACCTAACAATAGTTTTCCCTTCCAGGAGAACCAATGAGCCCATGTGTGGCTTAATTTAGGTTTCATCTTCTCTACTGCTCACGGAAATCCAGGCCTAGGAATATAAGCCTTTTACAAAAATGGGAGTGTTGAGTGGTGGTTATGTGGTTCCCAAGCTTTTGGCTGAGGCTTGAGAAAATGAAACAAGAAAGACTGAAAGCAAAAAAAGAGGTTAAAATTTCAAGTTAACAGGGGCTCCTTTAAAAAGACCACAGAAAGACCAGAATAGTCTATTGAATATAAAGCCTGTAGGAGAATGTGCCCAAATAGCATCCCAAACTGCAGCGATCTTTTCTGGGTAACCGGAGAAGAAAGCGATTCGGAGAATGAGTTTCTGGTTTTCAGTGCTTGTGGCGGCAACCTTTAGAACTTGACTGTGGTCTGAAAATGCACTGAATGGCACCAAAAATCGATTGTTAGGGGAGAGAGGGGAAAAGAACCAATATTCCTACTCCCATTGTGGCCTGAGAAGTAGGAAGGGAATCGCTTCTTGGCCATGGGTCTCTCTGCACTGCAGAGGTGGCCCATAGAAAGTGTGAAGAGGAAGGCCGTCTGCAGGAGGAAGGGCCCAGGTCACCCAGGACACAGGACAGCTTTGGGGACAAGGAGGTGTGAATGGCCAAAGAGGATTTTTCGGAAGTTCAGTACTGTTCTGTAATTGTGCTGTAATTAAGTCCTCTTTTGTGCATCTTCAGGACATGTTTTCTAAAGACTTGGTTCCTCTTGGAGGCTTTTGGAGGATGGCTTGTGTTTGAGTGTGACCTCACTCAGAGCAGCCACAAAGCAGGAGTTGGAAGACCTAGTTTTATTCGGGTTATGCTTGTTTTCTCTCAGTCTTACATTTTTCCAGGAGATTTTGACCTTTTCAACCATGAATCTTTTTCAGCTGGCAGTGGTTTTACCAATCTTACAGATTTTAATTTTATTTCCTGATTAAGTTAATTTTGTTGTTAGGGTGTTTCACTAGTGGTGAGTTTATAAGGCTCGTGCTAAGTGTTCCATTGGCCTGTGGAGCTTAAGATGTCGCTGACCCAAGAACAAGCTTTTTCCGGTCCCAGCCCAGGCTGCTCTGAGCTGTGTGTCTGCAGGCTGCCTGCTTTCCCTGGCACAGTTTGGCAAATAATGTGGAAACCATGATGGTGCCCCAGAGCCCCCCTGACATTGGAGCCAGCAGGCATTAAAGTCATGGCCACTTGTATTGCTTGGAGTATCTGGACAAGTTTGTTACTCATTATTATAGTGCCTTGTCATTGCGTTCATTTCCTACTTTCTACCCTTTCATGTTCAATTCGTGGCCTAGAGGGAGGCCATCTGATTATAGGGCTATTTGGATTAGCATGAGAAAAATAGGAGATTTCCCTATAGTAGAAGTCAAAGGCAAAAAGACAATAATGAGAATATATAAATCTATATATACGAGTGTATATGCATACACACATACATAGGTTCATTGACTCTATACACGACTTCAGGCATAGGAGTACCTACATTTTGTAGAGGCTAAGAGACATGAAACAAGGTTACGTAGCTAGTAAGAGGCAAAGCTAAAATTTGAACCCACATCTGTTGGCATAAATTCTTAACTCCTATGCTCCAGTGTCTCTCCTAAATGGCAGGGGATCTGGGTTCTAATCCAAGCTGGTCACTCTTGTACAAGTCAGTCCCCTGCCCTGACCTCAGTTTTTCATGTGTAAAGTGAAATGTGGACCTGATCTCTACAGTCCATTTCAGCTGCTTGAGCCTGTGATTTGCAGACACTTCCTGTGTGCTAGTATGTTGACCTTGGGATGGGAGGGAAGGTATTCCTGCCTCCTAGTGGGCAATGGGGCAGGTCAGACTCTAACAAGAGAGACAAGTACAGGAGTGAAGAAGATTATAATGTACTTGGTGCATAAGAGGCAGAGGTGATGCTCAAAATAGTTAATAATTTGTTTGATAATATAAAATAAAAACATAAAATATAAATAAAATACTGTGAAATATGAAATAAAACACAAAATAATATGAAACTCCTCTTAGTTTATATACTACATATTTTTAAAAACTCTTTGGCAAATAAGTTGTAGCGTATGTTATAAGTCAAATTACTCTTAATTTCCAAATCACTTCTTGGATTCTAGATTTGTTTTTAGCTCTTGAGATATAATTGACATAAAACATTGTGTAAATTTAAGATGTACAAGGTGTTGACTTGCTATGCTTCTATATTATGAAGGGATTCTCATGATAACATTACCCAACATCTTCATCAAATCACATAATTACCATTTCTTTTTTTGTGGTGAGAATATTCAAGATTTACTCTCAGCAACTTTCAAGTATATATAGGATAGTATAACTAACTATGATCACTATGCTGTACATCAGATCCCTAGAACTTACTCATCTCATAACTGAAAGTTTTTACTCATGGGTCTTATGTGTTCCTACAAATTTTAGAATTTAAAAAACATTTTTGTGAAAAATGATAGGGATTGCATTGGACTGTAGATTGCTTTGGGGAGTGTGACATTTTAACATTAGTTCATTTTTCCAGT